GATCTAGATAACTCAGAAATAAAAAACATGGTCGTCACCTGCATTTCTGTCCTTTCATAGGCTAGAATTCCCATAAGAAAGGCCCTTATTTGCAACTTTGGTCTATCTAGGGCTAGCTTCTTCTTACAAAAAAGCCATCATCGACATCCTTGGTCTATCTTGAGCTAGGCCCACCTTGCAAAAACTTCATCATCCGCAACTTCAATCTATCCAGACCTAGGTCCTACTTCAAAAAATCTCACCATCGACACGTTTGCCCCTATCTCGAGGCAGGTTCCCCTAAAAAGAGATCACGACCTGCGCCTTCAACCTGCCTTTGACCAGGGATTAACGCGTCCCCGGCTACCCCACCGATCGAACGATCGCCGAGCCTCGGGTCCGGCGTCGAATCGACTTTATCGCCGGCTCGCCGTGACACGCGGGGCGTCGGTTAGTGGTTCCCAGGAGCCGTGTCTGAGGGATGACCGTCGCAGGGGACAATCCTTTAAACGCGAAAGATGGCGCGCGGACCGTAACCTCGCCGGCAAAAAGATCGAGGCCTGGAGGCGTTTGGCAAACGAGGCCGGCGAGCGCGGCAGGAGTCCGTGGGTCTGGTGGTAGCGCGCGCGATCCTCGGACGGCGAAATTGATGGCAAGGACAGAAGTTTAGTGGCCGCCTATATATCTCGCGAAAGGAGCCCCGGTACCGGCACACCGGCACCGGTGCCGCGTGGTAGGAAAAAGGGTGGAAATAGGGGAACGCCGGAGGAGCAGGCAGAAGAGGTTGCTCCCTCAAGTCTGGAGGCTTGTAACGTTGGTAACCGAGCCACCGGAGTCTGCCGGATGGTTCGACGGACAGAGGGGCGCGGGTAGGATCGGGAGAAGGAGGAGGTCGGCAGGGCGGTGGGAGGCGGGAGAAGGGACCCGGGCGAAATGGGGAGGAAAGTCGTGGTCGATGCTCGGTCATCGAGAAAAACTCTGGCCCGCTCTCACTGCTATTTCACTCGAGCCTCTCTCTGCCTCTGTTCGCGGTAATCCCGAATGTCTATGGGTGTTCGCGTCCGTGTGCGGAAAAAGAGGAGCGCGGAATCGGCTACTCGTGGAAGGGCCGGAGATCTTAAATCGTCGTCGCATGAAATCGTCCTTGAAAGCACTCGCCATCTCAAGAACCGATCCCGATGTGGACAGACGGTTCCCGAGGATCAGGCTACCCGGTGAATATACATTCGTAATTCTTTGTAGCCACCGCCATCGCCCCCGGCCCGATCAACCTGAATGTTATTCAATACGCTCCGTCTGCACGGATGCTGCCTACCGTCCGCTAATACATTCATTCGGGATACGTTGAGCCGCTGTCGGCTCCGTTGTGTCTACCAGGCAATATGGATATTTACTAAGCTGTTGCGCGGAGCACCGGTCTCTTATCGATCATTGTGATCTCGCGTCATTACGGTGAGCATCGTTCGGCTAAGCGGCATTTCGTTACGTACAATTCTGCTGTATATCGCGTTCTGTTAAGTCGCCTCGTGGTTTCTGTTTGTCTGTTGATCGTCTGTCTGTTAAATGTCGTTTCGTTGGGGACTATTGTACTACGTGACGGTCTGTTAAGTCAGGTTGTGATACAGATTATTCTGTTAGGCAGCGTTCCATCAAGTAAAATTGTATTGTGTAATGTTCTGTTAAGTCTCATTGTGATACACATTATTCTGTTAAGTGTAGGCATTATTCCATTAGATACAATTGTATTGTGTAATGTCCTGTTAAGTCGCATTGGGATACACATTATTCTGTTAAGTGTTAGGCATCATTCCAATAAATACAATTGTATTGTGTAATGTTCTGTTAAGTCACATTGTGATACTCATTCTATTAACCATCATTCTGTTAAGCTTCATTCCATCAGGTACAATTGTATTATGCAACATTCTATTAAGTCACGTTGTGATATACATTATTCTGTTAACCATAATTCTGTTAAGCCTCATCCCATCAGGTACAAGTATATTGTGCAACATTCTGTTAAGTCACATTGTGATACAGATTATTCTTTTAACCATTATTCTGTCAGGCATCATTCTGTTAAGTCACATTGTGATACACATTATTCTGTTAACCAACATTCTATTAGGCATCATTCCGATAATCCTCATTATACCAAGCATCATTCTCTAATGTATAATTGTGACAGACACCGTTCCGTAAATCATCGTTCCGCCAGATGTCGTACTCACAATGATCATTTTGTTAAACGCCATTCCTTCATCGACAATTCTAGCGGAACATCCTCCTGCCGGTATAGCAACGCGACACCGATCGCTTTACAGGCAAACAGAACATCGGCGCATCATTCTGTTAAGCATCATCGAGCCCAGCCACCGTTCTGTTAGGTATCATCGTGCCAGGCACCATTCCGTTAGGTATCATCCACCGCCCAAGCATCGTTCCGTTAGTATCTACCGGTGTCGTATGAGCTTGACAATGCGGCGCGGTACGTTATCGATTCCGATTCAGTAGAACGGAAACGTTTCGCGATTTGTTGAGTGAAATATTCAGAGGCAGAGGCGGCCGTTTTTATCCGATCGGTGCAACATCTTCGGGGCGCGCATTTTACGGGATGGTTTGTTTTACACTCGTTCCGCCGGTGCGTTCTGCGTTTAAAAGATCGCCTCCTGCGAGGGCGGTTTCTCTGGCTCTACGGGCTCCTTGGGACCGATCGTGTTCGCTCCGTGAATCTTTTACGGACGGACATTACGCGTAGTTTTATCTGCCGCTCCACGCGAACGATAGTCAAACAATAATTCCACGGTATGAGACTTTCATGCAAACGGCGCGCCCTAAATAACATAACCGTATTTGCGCTGCTTGTGTGTTCAATTCCGAGCGAAGAATTCTCTCTCGCTTTCTCTCTCCCTCTCTCTCTCTCTTTCTCTTTCGCCGTTGCTCCCCTTTACGTGTAGTTTGTTTCGACATGCAGAGGGAGGCGGGCCGTGCTTTCATTTGCTTCGATTTTTCTATAAATCACCGCGCGTGTCGCGGAACTAACCGAGCGGTAATATTTTATAACAATATTTGTGTTTTACGTAGCGCGCGGCTCGTACCGTAAATTCCGGTGCTCCTCGAAATTAATACGAGCGTATCCCGAAACTCGGGAACCGATCAAATATCTCGGGCATAAAGGAGAAAGTAACTGCTGCAGGGGAAGCTCGACAATCCCGCGCGAAAAAGCGCCAGGCAAGTTTGTTTGCCGACCAGACTGCAGATATTACACCGAAGAATCAACTCGGAGGTTTCCGTTCCCCGAATGCACAGTTTCTCACGGGCATGTGTCGATTCCGAGAGCTCCGCTGTGTACGGTTGTCCACGAAATCTTTCCGTCTTCCCGAGAATATCGTATCCTCCGGCCAGGATTTGCTTGCGGGACTATACACATATGTATATCGCGATCCCCCTGTTTCGCACGATACCTATTCGATTCAGACAGCTGTACACGCTGTTCCGCGGGAGTGCCGCAAAGTCCACTGCAAACAATGCTCACCGACTCGCAAGAATCCCTCAGAATTGTAATTTATTTAGTCTGGACCGTTGCACAACTAATGGCGAAACAGTTAGGTCCGTTTCCAATCTCTTAACGCGGTCGGTCCCGTCGTTCAAAAAGCCGATTTTACGGAATTTTTGGTTATCGCGACGGGAACACGTAAATCTTTTAAACTTTTTCCATGGTTAGAACGTGTCCTTGGAAACGTGTTAAAAATATTTCAGCTTCGCAGATTTATTCTTTGCGAAAAATTTCGTCGCTTTCACGCGGCTCTTCTTTTCTTGGAGTTGGATAAGCTCGTGTGATTTCAAGAATTTTTTCTATCGAAACGGTTAAACATAGTCTTGCAAAATTTTTTCAGCACTCGAATAGAGGGCTAAACAATGCATTAAAAAAGTTGCTGTCAAAATGATCGAGGTTTTCGTAGAATATTATCATTTTCGTATGGATCCTCTTCTTTTTGTGTTCGAGAAACTTTGTGTAACTTTAACAATTTTGTATATCGAAACGGTTAAACCTAGACCCGTTAAACTTTTTCCCTGCTCGAACGGCGCTTTTAAGAATGCATGGAAAAAGTTTCAGCCGAAAGGATTCACTTTTTTCGTGAGCGCGAAAATTTTTTGATGATCCTTCGTTCCAAGCAGATGCTTCGAAAGCATGCGGATCTTTGACAATCCGTAGCCCGAGCGACTGCAGTTATTTTCGCGCATGGTTTCAGTCGACATTTCCGCACGCCATCGACACAAATCCCCGAAAATAATTGCGCAATCAAGCTCCGCACGGAGCCATGTATTCGGGATCAGCATAACTTGCCGTTTTGCGAACCGCTGCCAGGCATATTTATTCCCATGGTCCCTTAACGGAAATTGAAAGTGCTTAAACATAGATACACGTCCGAGCACTGACCGTACACACTGTAACTTGTGCGGGGACCAGCGTCGGGGTTCCTTCCGGACCGAAACGCGGGAAATACGATTCGTATTCGATTTTCGCCTAGCGGTCATCAAATATCCGAATGAACGTTTCTAGTAGTCGCTGTCATTTTATTAAGCCGTGCTACGAACTGGCCAATCTGTTCGTTTCTTTCTGAAATTGCTGTAAAAGAAAAATCGTTACTAAACGGTGATATCAATTTTATAGTAATATTATTATTATATAATAATATTATTTTATATTAATATTAATTTTATAAAATATTAATTTCACAAAACTTTTTGCTCTATTGAGCAGAGCAAGCCTGTCGATCAATTATGAAAAATAATTTCATCCTATCGACTCAATTTTTCAATACATTTTTGGCTCTTTATGGCTTTAATCAGCAGGTTTATTATTTCAAATAGAGAATTAAACTTTGAGATATATTAAAAGATATTCTTTTCATTGCAATTTTAGAAAGAAACCAACAGATGGCCCACCGTATGCAGACAGCAAACGCGATTTCGAGTTAAACAAATTTTAATAAAAATACGTGAATTATTTGTTACAGAATTTGCCACCTAGTGTATACAATGCGGTGATTCCTGGAAGGGGAGGATAGACAGAATTCTAGTGCAGTGCTACAAGTGGTGAGTGAGACTATACTTTTCTTCCCTACTTCCCAAAAACTTCTTAAAACTGAAAATGATTGTTCGGATAAGACTGGGATAGTTCAACCACTTTTCCCGACACACTCGCACGTGTTTTTGTTTTCCAGAGTTTTATCGTTTCAACGAAATCGAAGCAAAATTGTACGAATTTGGCTCAAGTGAAACATCTGTCGTTACATACTGCGAAATCGATGAAAATGTTACTTGCAAACAAACCATTTTACTTTGCATAAAATGCATTTTTACTAATTAAATTTTAAATGATAACAATAATAATAAATTAATTAAATTGTATTAAGTTCCTGCACTATCAATTCATTTTGTCCACCGATGCACAGTAAATTCTCCCTAATTATTCCTCGGCTTATATATACTTATACTATATTATAATAAAAAATATAATAATATAAATAATATATACTCATACTATATTATAATAAATTATATTATTATATACTTATAGTCGTCGATCGTCAACAATTATAAAAACGAGGTGCAATGTTGTCTCCTCTTCCCAAATTTGTCATTCCTGTTCAAAAGCCGGAAGAAAATTAGAGAAAATTTACTGTAATTTACTTACACTGGCCGATCTCTGCCGGACTCACCGCGTTTAAAAATTGCGTAATCGAGCACACGTTTCGTCCCCGATCGTGGAGCAGCCTGCAGAAAACAACCGGCGCGCCGCAGGTCGCACGAAGGTGCGATAGCGTTCGGTGTCCTTTGGGTTTCAGGGGCGGCTTCCGAGGGCGCAACGATTAATAGTTCGGCCCGGCGATCAGTGAAGCGTGTTCGACGGCGCAGCTCGACGCTCCCACGGACCCGGCATTTATTTTTCCGGCCAATTTTCGTCCGTTTTTCGCGGTTTTATCTGGCCGCAGCGCGGAATTGTTTCAACTTTTCCACGGACGGCCGGGGGCGCCGGGTGCGGCGGGGGACGAGCTTTCGAGGAGGGGAGTGAACTTCGTGAGAGCAACTGCTGAAACCTCGTAACGAGCGAAACAATGGTTAAAACTTCAGCAGAACGCCGGGGTGGTGCGCGCGCGCCAGAGAGAGAATGAGAGAGAAAGGAAGAGAGAGAGAGAGAGGCTGGCGCGCTCGCGCGCATTCCCGAGCTTATATAATAGCTTTCAAACTCATATCTGTCGAGATATCGTGTTAATAAAACGGCCGCACCACCCGTTGACTTTTGTTGCGAGTTTTCGACCGCCTCGTTGTTTAATCGCGGTTCCTCTAAATCAATTTCACCGAAGAACCTTACGACCACGCTCGAACTGATTCCGTCGCGCAAAACTGGCCGCGGCCGCGCCGGTTTTCGAGGTTCCACGGGGGCGCGGCACCGCGATCATTTCCGGCTACCGTTCGCGTTCCCGCGTCCACACCGCGGTTATGAGAATCGCGTTTAAAATTCATTTCCTCTTCGACCGACGTTTAATCAGCCTGTCTTCTTTGCCGGCTTTGAAACCGGCCACTGTCTACACCCGCGACCACTGCGCCCCATACGAACCCGATGATGATCCTACCGGGTTCAATTTGCTTATGGGCTGCGCCCTTCCAAAGCCCTGTTGACTTTTCGAACTCGCGGCTGTTCGTTTGCGAAATACGCGCCTGCTTCCGAATTTTTATTGCCGGAAAACCGATGTAAGGGAAATTGTGATTCTTCTTCTATGATCTTGTTGTGTATCGAGGGAGGTGTGAACAAATTTTCTGGCCGGAAGATTCATTTTTTAAACAGGTATCACAGTTTCGATGTGAGTATGGGTTTCTTAAGACGCTTATGATTATAGCGATTTTTAATAATTTTTGTTATCGAAATGTTTGAACGTAACTTTGCAAAACTTTTACCATATTTAGATGACAGTTCGAAGAGTGCGTAAAAAAATTGTCATGCGAAAAGCTTTATTTTTTCAAACGATATCGTTATTTTTATGTTGGCACTCTTTTATGGGCTTGGAAAGACATCCATGACTTCAGCGATTTTTAATAATTTTTATTATCGAAATGCTTCGACATAATTTTGCAAAATTTTCACCACACTTGGACGATAGCTTCAAGAGTGAGTAAAAAAATTGTCATGCGAAAAGCTTTATTTTTTCCAAAGATATCGCCATTTTTATGCGGGTACTCTTTTGTGAACTTGGGAAGACACCCATGATTTCAACGATATTTAATAATTTTTATTATCGAAATGCTTGAACATAATTTTGCAAAACCTTCACCATACTTGGACAATAGTTTCAAGACTGAGTAAAAAAATTGTCATGCAAAAAGCTTTATTCTTTCAAAAGATATCGCCATTTTTATGTGGGTACTCTATTATGAACTTGGGAAGACACTCGTGACTTCAGCAATTTTTAATATCGAAATTGTCGAACGTAATTCTGTAAAACATTCTCCATACTTGTATAATATTTTCAAGAGCACGTGGAACACGTTTCACGCGGAGAGCTTCATTTTTTTCAAAAGATGCATATTTTATTCGAGCCCTCTTTTCATGATAGCGGGAGCAGCATAAACTGGACGCGTTCATGCAGTTTGCGTCTGTTCCCCGGCTTGTTTCTGGAAAATGGCGGTACCTTATGACACCGCGTGAATGTGGAATGCGTGTTTACGGGCTGGATACGTAACACCGTTGCGTACTGTGCTAGACGTACAGTACGTCAGGTTGGATACCAATAATTAGGGTACTCGTTAACTGTCTATGCGCACGCGTTTAACAATGCAGCAAACCTGGTGATAGCAATTATGTGAGTTGTACGACCGTGTAACTTGATCCTGATCGTGTGCTAGTTGACTGAACGCTTCTGCTAATGGTAATTAACCATCAGTTCGTTTTTTCAGCTGTGATTGCAGCTGCATCGGAAAAAAACCCAGTCGATTCTTCTCTCGCCGACTGTTTCGATCCGCGTTAGCAAAGTTAACGAACGTTCCGATCCGCAAGAAAATAAAAGCCAAAAATGTCGAATTAATTTCTAGTTCCGGTGTTTAATTTCAGGTTCTTATTTATTCAATGTATATCTTAATTTACGGCTCGTTAAAAAATTAGAATCAACGTCTTATTGTTACTTTTATGAACTTAATATAAAACAGCCGTTTCCTCTGCTCCGTGAATCTAGTTTAAAAAATACACGCGTGTTATCTTCTCGTTTAAAAATTTTAAGCAACCGAATATAAGTTAAATTTCATTCCTAACCGTGACCGCTAACGTTATTCGCGAACAGCAAACAATTGAAACACATCAGTTTACTATTTCATTCGTTATTCCGAATAACATTTGCCATACGCCGCGCGTATAAAATCGATCAGGAGCTGAAGTGCTACACGAAGTTCGCCGTACGCACCTGGAATTGTACGTTTCCATGAAATGAGCTCACACGTGTTCCTTTGGACGTGCAGAAATCGTGTTTAAAATTCATTTCCCTTTAACGGCCGTTTAATCAGTCTCCCATCCTCGCCGGTTCTGAAATTATATTCTTTCTCGTCCACGTAAACGCTGACCGCGGATGAAGGCGGGCGGTGAAGGGGGAGAAATGGGGAGTAAATCGGAGGAACACGATGAAGAACCCGTGGGCGTGTGCGAGTCTGTGTTTCTTTGGAGGAAGTAAATAAAGCGGCGATGAATTCAGAACGGTTTCCATTTTACGGGCCACGGATAATTAACCCTCTCTGTCTAAATCACTTTTATCTCTAATTTTGAAATAATTTCAGCAGAACCGGCCGCGCGCGCGAGGCTGTCTGCGCGGGTCGCGTTTGAGATCCGCGTAATAAAGATTTTAATTTGGAGAATTATTTTAATTCGCGAGCGTTGGCTTGCCCCGGGAATCCATTCATTTAGACGATTCACTGGAAGCTACGTTAACTTCCTTTCTTTCGCAGGCGGCTTTGCTACGCCGCCGGAAGGATTGGGGCGGAGGGGCGGGATAATTATGTTCTCCCCGCGGTAAACGTTTATCAGAGAGCAATACTCTGGGAAAAGAATTAGCTATCGGAGATAGGGAATTGTCCTCGCTATCCAGGAACGTTCTACCGCCTCGCGAAGCTCCGCCGTTTTTCGCCGGGGAACTTGGAGCCAGAATTTTTCGAAAAATTCTGTGACACGTAGCGAAGCACCACCCAGCTATGTGTCGGAATTTTTTCGAATTTTTTACCGCGGGATTAAATAGCGAACATTAATAGAAAACTGAAAATTCGGTTCCACCGCTGTGAGCAAGGTAAAATAGTTTATTTCGATTGTTCGTCGAATACTACACAGTCGATTTTAATTTAATCGGTTAAAGATGAAGACTACCGAATACAATTTTATTGGTAACCATCGATTAAATATACGATCGAATAAAAATTTATTTGATATTTATTTATCCGAATATTTATCCGAATGAAGTTATATTCGACACTCTGTCGAGTAAACATAAAATCGAATAAAGATTGATCTAGATAGAAATTTGTCCGAATCGAATTTTTTATTCGAATAAGCATTCATTCGTGCAGAAATTCGGACGGAAAATAATTGATTTAGTTCATCGATTTATTTCTTCCATAATTACTGTTTCGATTTATTCGAATTAAAAATCGTTCGAATAAAGAATTATTGGAATAAATAGATAGAAAAATTTGTGGCGAATAATGAATCATTCTGGGTTTAGTAACTATGATAATAATAATAATAGTAATAATAATAATAATAATAATTCTGGATTTAAGTAATGATTTTTATTGAACCTGCGGCGAGTATTGTCGGAGGGCCTCTCGAAAGCGACGAGGAATCCCGAGTTCATTCACGTGGCAACGAAACTTGATTCCCGCTGACAGAATTTCTATCAAAGTCGCTTTTATCACTCGTCAACCCTCGGCGCGTCGTGTATAATGCACATCGCACGCTCCCGTGACGCATACCGGTTCTGTATTCCCGCTCGTTTACACGACAACATTATCGTGTGATCCATTTATTGAAATGGAATTGTGTATCTTGATTACATCGAATT